TCATCAATTCTCATTCTGAAAGTGGAAAGCATTTTTCACCGTGGGTCCTTTGCAATTGTCTTGGATCATTGTATTGCTCAGAGTAACCAAGACTTCCACAGTTGGTCATCCTTATAATATTTCTGTTACTGTGGTTGATCATCATTACAAGACTGCTGTTATTGTGTACCGTGTTCTGGTTCTCCTCACTTCCCTTCGCATGAGCTCATGTGAGTCTTCCCACATTTTTCTGAAACTCTCCTGCTCATCATTTCTTATAGCACAGTAGTATTCCATCACAATCACATACCACAGTTCATGAAGCCATTCCCCAGTTGACAGGCATCCCCTCAATTTCTAATTCTTTGTCGCTACAAAAAGAGCTACTATAAATACTTTTGTACATGCAGGTCCTTTTCCCTTTTTTATGATCTCCTTGGAATCAGACCTAATAGTGGTTTTGCTGGATCAGAGGTACATATGCAGTTTTATAGCCCTTTCAGTATAGTTCCAAATTGTTCCCCAGAATGGTTGGACCAGTTCATAAACTCCAGCAACAGAATATTAGTGTACCTATTTTTCCACATCCCCTCCAGTATTGTCATTTTCCTTTTCTGTCATATTAGCCAATCTGAGAGGTGTGAGATAGTACCTCAGAGTTAACTTGCATTTCTCTAATACATTCTTCATATGACTATTGATAGCTTTGATTTCTTTTTTTTTTAAATTGTCTTTTCATATCCTTTGACCACTTATCAATTGGGGAGTTTTTAGAAATTTTTATAAATTTGCTTTAGTTCCCTATATATTTGAGTAATGAGGCCTTTATCAGTCTCTCTTTCTGTTCCTAGGCCTTTTCTAATTATCATCTCCCCATATTTGAACATAAGCAGTTTATCTTTGTTTAGTCCTTTATCATTGTCATTTGTGTTTACCTTTTTGTGTTTTTCTTCATGCCTATGTTTAACTTCAAAGTACAGATCTGATCTTTTCATTGAATGCTTGGAAGCTTTCTTATTTCACTAAAAGTTCATTTTTTTTCACTTGTGGCATTATATTCAATTTTGCTGGATAGGTTATTTATTCTTCTCCGTAAGCCCCCTATCCTTTGCATTCTGAAATACTGTATTCCGAGTTCTCTGCCTCTGTAGAGTAGCGGATACTAAATCGTGTGTGATCCTGACTTTGGCTCCTCAGGACTTCAGTTTTTTCTGACTGCTTTCAGTATTTTTTACCCTGATCTGGAAACTCTGAATATACACTTCCTAGAAGTTTTCATTTTTGAGTTTCACAAGGTAGATTCCTTCTATTTCTACTTTACTTCTAGTTCTAAGAGATCTGGGCAGTTTTCTTTTAAGATCTCTTGAAATATAATGCCTAGGATTTATTTTTTTTTTGGTCATGGTGTTTAAATAGTCCAAGGATTCTAAATCTTTTCTCTTCTGTCTTGCAGGTCAGTTGTTTTTGCTATGAATTCTACTGTAGCTTTGCTTTTATTTTTTCAGTCTTTTGACTTAGTCCTGATATTTCATTGTATCATAGGTTTCTATTTAGTCCATTCAGATTTTCAGGGAGTTTATTGCTAGGGTAACATTTTTGTACCACTTATGCTAAATCTGCTCATTTCCTTTCTAATTCTTTCTTCTGTAACTTTCACTTTTCTACTTTTCCCCTCAAGTGCTCTCATTTATTGAAAAGCCTAAACATTAAAAATTTTTTTTTCTTTATCTCTTCCAGGGATCCTAGTTGAATTTATGATCATGCTGTGTTTTTCTCTGAGGCTTTGCTTGTAGATGTTTTAGAGTCCTTCTTGTCTTCTGAGTTTGTGTTTTGAGCTTCCCTACCACTATAATGGCAGCTAATAATATTTACTCTTTATGGTGGGATTCTTTTTTTTTTTAAGCTTGTTTGTTTGCTCATTCTTCCAGCCTATTTTCCAACTTCAGACTTGATGTTAGGACTAGGGTCTGTTACATTTCTGAAAGGAAGGTCTGGGTTGATCTTGTTGTTGCTTTCTTGCAGTTTTATGGGGTTGTTTATTCCATGATCTCAGGGACAAGGTGGGGACCTGCAAGCTTTCAGTTTGTCCAGAGTGGTCTGATCCAGGGCAGAGTATGATTTCTGCTCTGGGTCTAAGCTCTGCAAATTCCTGATCTGAGCATCAGTAGAACGCTACCAGACTCGGGCACTGTCAGTTTGTTCTAAAGCTTTGTTAGTTCAGAGTGACGGAATTGTAGGTTCCTCTTTGAACTGGGATTTTTGCCCGGGTTATTCCTCTACAGGCTCCAGGCTACATGCTGATTCTTTGTCTCTGAGTCCACTGTGTTCTTGGTGTCTAAACAGCACTGCTGGCACAACATTCTTTTCCCTTTTCTTCACCCTGGATCTGTGACCTGGAACCAGGTAATGGACAGCACAGCTGCCAGCTGACACCTGTTTCCATTGCAGTGTCCCATATTGGTTTGCTGGTAGGTATGGGTCTGGGGCCTCCTGTTGCCTTGATCTCCCTGGATAGTGCTGCTGGAGTGCTCTTTGCATAGCATGCTGCTGGCCTAATTCTGGCCTTAGTTTCCACAAATCTCTCTTGTCTGTTTCCTCATGCTGACCTGGCCTAGACAAATGAATCACTGGCTATTTCTGCATTTCCCTATCAGAATTCGGGCTGGTGCATTTTGTAGGTTGCTTTGGAAGAGTTTTGTGGATGACAGCTCTGCTTTACTGCTTTCTGTTTACTGTGTCATCTTGGCTTGGGAGGAATCATTTTGAAATGTAACTTTGAGACTTTTAGAATCATAGAATTGTAGAATTTGAAGGAACCTTTAGTGGTTATATCTAATTCTCCACTTTTTTTCTTTTTTTTAAGAATTTCCTTCTAGGGACAGCTAGGTGGCACAGTGGATAGAGTCCTGAAGTCGTCAGGAGGACCTGAGTTCAGATGTGGCCTCAGACCAAACGCTTAACACTAGCTGTGTGACCCGGGGCAAGTCACTTAATTGCCTTAAAAAAAAAGAATAAAAAAATAAAAAAAATTAGAATTTCCTTCTAAAATATCTCACTTAGATTGTCATAAGGGGACCCTTATTTGAATACATCCTGTGCATACAGTTGAATACTTTTTATTGATTTTTTTTGTTCTGTTTTTAGACAACCTAAGTTTCCCAATATGCCTTCCTACCCTTACTCTCCCTATTCCTCAAACCCAGAGCCATCCTTCATAACAAAGAAAGCCATATGTACTAACATTGATTAGTTTCAGCAAAACCAACCAGTATATCAATCAAGTTTGACCTTTTTTGTGGCTTTCCAAGCCCATAATCTCTCCTTCCTCGCCACTTCTGCAAGGAAGGGTAGGGATGCTTTCTCCCATCTTTTTAAAACCAAACTTGATTATTATTTCACAGCATTCAGTTTCTGTTACTTGGGGATAGTATTGGTTGTTCCATTTACATTGTTGTAGGCATTATGTATATTGTTTTCCTGCTTCTGCTTACATCATTTTATATCAGTTCATATGTCTTCCCATATTTCTTTGTATTCATCTTATTTATATGGATTAATCATCATTATTTCTTGTGGAATGCAGTAATATTCTATTATACTCTTGTACTGCAGACTGTTTAATCATTCCTCATTCTGTGGGCTTCTGACATGTTAACAAGGCAGCTAGGTGGCATTACAGTGGATAGAGTGTCAGTCCTGGAGCCAGGAAGACTCATCTTCCTGAGTTCAAATCTGGCCTCTGACACTTAGTAGCTGTGTGACCCTGGGCAGGTAACTTTACCCTGTTTGCCTTAGTTTCCTTACCTGTAAAATGAGCTAGACGAGGAAATGGCAAAACCACCCCACTGTCTTTGCCAAGAAAACCCCACATGGGGTTACGAAGAGTTGGACACAACTGCAAATGACTGAACTAACAATTCTGTGCTGCTACAAAAGGCGCTGCTATGAATGTTTTGGTATATATGAAGCATTTCTTTTTATCTGTGACCTTAGGAAATATATCTAGCAATAGAATCTTTGGGCCTGAGGGTATAGACATTTTGGTTACTTTCTTAGAATAATTTTAAATTGCTGCTTCAAAGAGCTGCATCAGCAGTGGTTTAGTTGTCTGTCTTCATGATCCCTTCAGCATTGATGATGTCCGTCTTTGGTCAAGTTTTCTAAGCTGCTGAGTATGAAGTCGAACTTCAGTTATTTTTATTTGCATTTTGCTTATTAGGAATTGGGAGAAATTTTTCAGATGATAGTTAACAGCTTGTAATTCTTATTTTTAGAGTTTTTAAAAATAGTTCTAATTAGGCAGTTACTTATATTGACCCCAATTCTGTTCCTCTGTAGCTTCTACTTGTTAATTTTAGTTCTACCTTCTTCTGGAGCTTCACAATTTGTTTATTCCATCATAGTGACACCATTTGAGTATTTTACACCAGCTTTTATTGTCTCCCTTGAACCTTCCCTTAAAAAAGTTGAACATCTTTACTCCTTTTGCCATTTAGTTAGGAAACATTTATTAAGAACCTACTATATGCAAACTGTAACTATGATTTCTTTAATATAGGATGTTCTTGGCGAGGAAATTCCTCTGCCATTGAGGTTGACACCCACTGTGCAATGTAGAGGCTTTTAGAGAGTTGCCAAAGGCATTAAGAGATGAAGTAACTTAGCCAGTGTCCCCAGTATTGTTTGTTGGAGGTGGGGAATTGAACCTAGTTCTGTGGCCCCAAGGACAGCTCTCTACCCACAACTCCTACTGACTTTTAGAGTCTGATCACATGGGGGTGGGTACGTACACTTATAAATATTATCAGAAGCAAAATGTCTCTAAATCTCAGATTTTACGTTTCATGATTCCCTGGCTTTTATATTGAGACTAGTTATATCCAGATTTTCTAGGAAAGTTGTAGTCTATTTAAAAGTGAAAATTAAAAATGTGTTGGATAGTATACTTTGGTTTGTTTGAGAACCAAGAGACTAAACACTTCTTTACCAAGCACAATTTTTTTTTTGGCTTTTATCATCAGGAGACTGGACCCTGCTGAACAACCCCTTCAGATGGTATATGAATACTTAGGCAGCCTGGGCTTTGAGGATCCTGTTCGTATACAGGAGGAGGCAACAAACCCTGACCTCAGTTGTATGATTCGGTTTTATGGAGGTAAGAATCTTATTGTGCTTATTTAGCAAACTTAATAGCTGTCCTTAATCATCTCCAACCAGTCTAGACTTTAACTTAAAACCTGTTTTATCAAAAACTTTTATTATTATTCTTGTTATTATTATATCTTTTGTTACCCAAACTGTCATTCTTTTTTTTTTTTATACCACAGTCATTTCCCACCGCCTTTTCTTTCTTAACAAAGAAAAACAGATGCTCTGTTGGTTGGTTTTGCTAAAGTGTGACAGTATGCAAATTTCTGCATCCATAATGGACCACTTTCCTACCAATCTGAAGGAAATATCCACATTGCTGTTCTTAAAAGGAAAGCTAGCTGTAGATAAAAGGACGGTAGCTTTTCTTCATTCGTGAATGTCTGACTTTCTCAGGCTGTTTTGCTGGTTCATCATCCAAATAGCCAAGTTGAGTGTTCTCAAACAAACCAAACTGTTGTGGTCTGGGCCAGATCCTAGGCTTTTTGTCTTTTCCTGCTCTCCTTCTTGGTACCCTCTACAGCTCCCATGGGTCTGATTATCATCTGCATGCAGACCTAGCCAACCTCTCCTTTGAGATTCATTTCCTTCTTACCATTTGCGTCTTGGGCATTTCAAACCAGATGCCCTAGAGGGAAAGTGGAAGGGAAGAAGCATTTATTAAGTGTCTGCTATGTTCCAGGCACTGGTCTAAAAATATCTCTTTTGGTCCTCAGCAAATCTTTGACGTAGGTGCTTATTATTTTCCCCATTTTACACTTGAAGAAACTGAGGCAGGCAAAGATTAAGTGACTCACCCAGGGTCACATAGCTAGTAAATGCCCAAGGCTGGGTTTGAACTTGTGTTCCTTTTTTTACATTTTTATTTGAAGTTCTGAGTTCCAAATTCTATCCCTCTTTCCTTCCCTTCCCTCTCCCCTCCCCGACATGGTAAATAACCAGATATGGGCTATACATGTGCAATTAATGTAAAACATTTCCATATTAGTAATTTTGTATAAGAAGACTCGAAAAAAAATGAAAGAAAGTGAAAAATAGCATGTTTTAGTTTGTATTCAAACAATGTCAATTGTTTCTCTGGAGGCGGATAACATGCTTCATCGTTAGCCCTTTGGGATTGTCTCGAATCATTGTATTGCTGAGAATAGCTAAGTCATTCACAGTTTTTCATCAGACAATATTGCTATTGCTATATGCAGTGTTATCCTGGTTCTGTTTACTTCACTGTGCATCAGTTCATGTCAGTCCAGGTTTTTCTGAAATCTTCTTGCTTGTCATTTCTTGTAGCACCATTTCAATCATATACCATACCTTGTTTAGCCATTTCCCAATTGATGGGCATCCCTTTGATTTCCAATTCTTAGCCACCACAAAAAGAGCTGCTATAAATATTTTTGTACAAATAGGTCCTTTCCTCTCCTTTTTTGGATGTTTTTGGGATATAGATCTAGCAGTGGACCCTTTGCTGGATCAAAGGGTATGCACAGTTTTTATAGCCCTTTGAGCATAGTTCCAAATTGCTCTCCAAAATGGTTGGATCATTTCACAACTCTATCAACAATGCATTAGTGCCCCAGTTTTCCCACATCCCCTCCAACATCCAACATTTTCCTTTTTTGTCATCTTAGTTGCTCTGATGGGTCAGAGGTGGTACCTCAGAGTAGTTTTAATTCTCATTTCTCTAGTCAGAATGATTTAGAGCATTTTTTCATATCACTATAGATAGCTTTGATTTCTTTATCTGAAAACTGCCTGTTAATATCCTTTGACCATTTATCAATTGGGGAATGACTTGCATTTTTATACATTATATATTTGAGAAGTGAGGCCTTTGAGATGCTTCTTGCAAACCCCTAACCCTAACCCTAACCCCAGTTTTCTGCTTTCCTTATAATTTTGGTTGCATTGGTTTTGTTTGTGCAAAACCTTTTTAATTTTATATAATCAAAATTATCTATTTTACATTTTGTGATGTTCTTTGTATCTTCTTTGGTCCTAAATTCTTCCCTTATTCATAAATCTGATGGATGAACTATTCCATGCTCTCTTAATTTGCTTATGGTATTATCCTTTATGTGTAAATCATGTACCCATTTTGATATCTTGGTATATGATGTGGGATGTTGGTCTGTACCTAGTTTCTGCCGTACTGTTTTCCAGTTTTCCTAGCATTTTTTGTCAAATAATGGAACTCAGGTATTCTTGACTGCAGGGCCAGCACTCTATCCATTATGCTTTCTAGCTACCAAATTAACTATCTAAAACTAGCTGTTATCTAGAGGCATCTTAAAAACAACAGGTCCAAACATGCATTAGCCTCAGTGCCTCCCTCTCACCTCCTAGATCCAATCAGCTGCCATTTCTTCCTTCACAATATCTCTCACACTTGCCCATTTCTCTTCACCCGCACAGCTACCACTTTAGTGTAAGTTCTGATCCCCTTTTGCCTAAATTATGGCAATAGCTCCCTAATTGATTTGCTCCTTTGAAATCTCTCCCCATCCCAGACTATCCTACTCACTGCAGCCAAAGTGATTTTCCTTAAACACAAATCTGTGTGACTCTCCTATTGAGCCAACTCCATTGGCTTTCTGTTACCTCCAAGATAAAATGTAAGCTATTCACTGTAGCTTTTAAAGCTCTGCATTCTGTCCCCAAACTATATTTCCAATCTCTATAGATATTGTTCCCCTTTTCACACTCTGCTGTCCAGCCAGCCTGGCTTTCTTTCTGGTGCTCAGACCCAATGATCCAAATGGTAGTACCCTGCCTTCAAAACTGTCTCATATTTAACTACTTTGTATTTATTCAATTTATATTCACTTATGCTGTCAGTTAACAAGCATTTATTGAGCACTTATCACGTGTTGGGCACTGTGCTACACTCTGAGGATACAAAGAAAGGCATCGGTACTTAAGTAGCAATCTTTTCTACCATTCTGGAGGGGGAGACAGCCTTCAAACAGCCAGGTACATACGTGGTGTATGCAACAATATATACAATGAGAAGGAAGGCACTAGCCGTAATGGGCCTTCTGCAGAAAGTGGAATTTGAGCTTAGTCTTTTAAATTTTTTTAGATTTTTAATTAATTAATTTATTTTTAGTTTTTTCAGTTTTCTCCCCTCTCCCCAAGATGTTGTGCAGTCTGATATAGGCTCTACATATACATTCATATTAAACATATTTTCACATTAGTCATGTTACAAAGAAGTATTAGAACCAATGGGAGGAACCATGAGAAAGAAGAAACAAAACAGAGCCACAAAAGAAAAAAAAGAAATCAAATAGTGTACTTTGATCTGCATTCAGACTCCATGGTTCTTTTTCTGGATGTGGATAGCATTTTCTATCATGAGTCTTTTGGAGTTGTTTGAGATGCTTGCATTGCTGAGAAGAGCTAGGTCTGTCAAAGTTAGTCATCGCACACTGTTGCTGTTACTGTGTATAATGTTCTCCTGGTGCTGCTCACTTTACTCAGTATCAGTTCATATAAGTCTTTCCAGGTTTTTCTGAAATCTGCCTGCTTATTTCTAATTGCACACTAGTGTTCCGTTGCATTCATATACCACAGCTTGTTCAGCCATTCCCCAATTGATGGGCACCCCCTCAATTTCCAATTCTTGGCCACCACAAAGAGAGCCGCTATAAATATTTTTGTACATGTGGGTCCTTTTCCCATTTTTATCATCTCTTTGTGGTACAGACCTAGAAGTGGGTCAAAGGATATGAACAGTTTTAAAGTGCTTTGGGCATAGTCAAGCTTAGTCTTAAAGGAAGTCCAGAGGAAGAAGGGAGGAAGGAGCACATTCCATGCCTGGTGAACAGCCTAAGAAAAGGTGCAGGGTCAGGAGATGGAGCATTGCAGAGAGGAAGGAGCCAGGTTTTGAAAAGCTTTAAAAGTTAAACTGAGGACTTGATAGACGTTTGATCCTGGAGGTAATAGAGAACCACTGGAGATTAATGAGCAGGGCAGGGTGATGTGATCAGACATGTGCTTTATAACTATTTTTGTATGTAGTTGTCTCTCTCATTAGAACTTAAGCTCCCTGCAAGTAGGAATTATTTTATTCTCTGTAGCACAATTTGTGGAAGGTTGTAGGTGCTTACTTTTGACTTAATAAATAGAAATCTTTTTTTAAAAAAAAATTACTTTACCAGTTACTAGAATTTCAGTGTACTTTGTATCAGACCCTTGAGTAGATGGTATTAGTCTAAGTAATGATAATACAACTCACTTGAGAATTTGTTGCTTGGCTAGAGTCAGAGTAGTTATTTATAATTTGATGCCACCCTAAATGGAGTGCCAAAGAGGTCTCCATTTGGCCATCTGCTGTTAATAACATTTTTATCAGTGACTTAACTCAAAGGCGTAGATGGCATGTTCAACAAATTTGCAGGTGACACATAGCTGGCAGGGATAGTTAACATCCTAGATGTTAGCTTCCCCAAAGATCTTGAGCAGCTGGAGCACTGGGCTAAATCTAAAAGATGAAGTTAGTATTAGTAGGGAGAAATGCAAAATTTCACTCTTGACTTCAAAAAAATCACCGTCACAAGGTCAGAATGGTGGGAGAGGTAGGTGGAAGGAACACATTTAGGCTGCAATTTGTATAAAAGTGATCTGGGGCTTTGCAGACTGAAGGCCTCATGTGAGTCACCAGTGCAATTTCCTGGGCTTCTTTAAGAAAAGAGAAGCCTCCAGGAATGAGAATAATGGTCCCACCATCCTCTTCCCTGGTCAGACCACATCTGGAGTATCTTGTTCAGTTCTAGGTGCCCCAGTTTAAGGAGAACATAAGCTGGAGAATGTCTCCAAAGCCAATAGTGATGGTGGACCTTGAGACCGTGTCGTATGAAGATCTTTTGGAGGACCTGGGGATCTTTTCCCTGGAGAAAAAAAGGACTTGGAGCCTTCTCAGGGGCTCTATCAAGTCAAAAAGGGGTTAGCCTTGCATTGTTTACAATAGAGGAAAAAACATGGAGCATTGAGTGGAAGCTCAGAAGA